CATAGTTTGTTGCCCCTATGTTGCCTGTCACTGTAATGTAACGGCCTTGTGGGTCTGTGTTAATCCTGCTAGTCAATGTCCTGTTGGCTGTGAAATGTGTGTCTTGTAATAGGAGAATGTTTGTGTTTTGTTTGTGAGCCCACCTCATTAAGGCATGCCTTTTGGTGGGAGAGTTAAGTCCTTGGCGTTGACCGACACACATTTTAAAATGAGTGGCATTTTGACTTAGGGAAGTGCTGTTGGGCTCCAAAGGTTTGGGCTGTTAGTGCCGTGTCTAGGGGAGTGGGAAGCAAAAAGAGGCCTGGGGCCGGGGGGAGGGAGTGGGGCCCCAGAGGAGCCGGGCAACATGTATGGGTTAAAAGAGTGTGGGCTACTGGGCTTATCTGATGGGCCAGTACATTGCAAGGGAGACTACCAGGCACCTGTGAGCTCTGTGGTGAAAGGGGTGAGTCGAGGTAGTTGACAGTCTTTCAGTCGCATGCAGGCTTACCTAGTGATGTGGTCAAACCCTGTGAAAAAGCTAGTAGAGCGTGGGGACTGGTGTGAGTTTCCACACCTTGCCCCAAGTCCCTCTACCCCATCCTTCTAAAGGAGGGGTCCCGGGGAGGTCCAGCAGGCACCCCCATCCCATCCGGGGCATCCAATGGGAGTGTAGGAACATATGTATCCGGCTCCAAAGAGACCGTGGCAACAGTTCATGAACATTGGCTGTCAGGGCACAGCCTGAGACCAGCAGACAGCAAGGCGTGGCCTCCCCTTTAAGAGACCTGGCTGGGTTTGAACTCACAGCTCCAGCTCTACCATAACATCCACCAGGGGGCTTCAATTTCTGTTTGCATGTTTTCTGCTTCCTGACCCTTTGCCTGGATTAAGCAGCACTGATCCACCTGCAATCCTTTTCCAATTAGGGTCAGCTGCATCTAATTAGCATGCTGTAAAAGCCAGTCCTGACTGAAATCTAGGATCTGGTCATTTTGCCTGTTTGGTGTTTCCTGACGGATCTTTGCTACACTACTGATTGATTTCCTGGACTCTGACCTCTGCCTGCTTTACCAACTACATTACTCCGCTGCCAACCCTGACTTCTGCTTCTTG